ATAGCAACAAATGCGGGTTCATAGTGCATGTACTTAGTCCTACCCCATGCAGCTAGTGACATATTTGCAAACGGACTTCTGCATGATGGTCATGGATCTAGCATCTGGCACGACCGCTGATATGGCCGACAACCAGGTTCACATTTGCACCTGTTGCCATCATAGTACGTGGCCCTGCAGTGCATGTTCAATCGTTGCCATCAATGATCTGGGGGCATTGTCCCGGACCCTTCTTAGGCCGAGGGGGTCCTGCAGCGAAAACTGCTTGTTTTGCCAACTTTTCGTGTGCCTCGATTTGCTCTAGCATGTTGCAGTGTCATAAGTTGAGGGGCCTCCAAACATGCCTTTCAACGCCCCCAACCACCTCGAAAAAACGGATTGCAAATCCATGAACTCTACATCAAGTTTTAGGGTTTTGAACATGCTCCCACTGTCGAATACCGTCCTACCACCTTCATTTGTCAACGTCAGCAGAAAGTTGAAGCATAGCAATGTAGCAAAGCCACAAAGCTTATGCAGCATGACGCTGCATGTGGGTGCCCGTTGGGTTGGATTGAGCAGGGTGATCTTTCAGGCCTGCAGGCCCTCTAGCATTGCTTCCTCGGACATAACATGCCCACTTATGGGGGCAGAGGCCAATGGGACCGTCCAAACAGTTGGTGAATGCGCTGTAGGCGGTCGCCAGCAGCTACCTAATCATAAGAATGGCTTTTCATTTGCATTCCTGGCAGCACCTAGACTGCCTGCCAGCAACTTTGTAAATCCTCCTGGAGGCATACCTGGTGCGCACTTTCGCACTTTTGGGGAAAGTGCTCTGAAAGCTTCAAAAAAGGAGGAGGACGACGGGGTCACTGAGGAAGAAGGGGCACGGAGTTCGAAAAGGGCAATCAATGAGAAAGATGGGGGAGTGAGGAAACCCGTCTGGAGGCCGAATGAATGGAGGGAGGAGAGAAGACTCAGGCTGGGGCTCTTACGAAACTTGAGAGTGTGGCCCCCAGATGAAGACTTGGACAAGAAGCTGCCAAACGCAACAATCGGTGGGAAACTGATCAGTGCTGGATCATTGAGAGCTACTCTTTACAGTCTTGCAAAAGGCCCAATAGCAGATCCCACGTGGGACAAGAGCACCGCCCTTTATAAGGAAGCCAAACAGGAGGCTGTCCAAGCTGTCCGGGGAAGCAAGTTTCTTTGCAGCGAAGAGGATGCACTGCGAGCTCTAAATGCACTCGAATGGTGGCTGTCTAGGAATCCCAAGGACCCGAGCAAATGCGTCGACATGTTGTTTAGTCCCGTGTTGCACGCACTTGCGGCAGCCCGGCGGACTGATGCAATCTCTAGACTATGGGACAGGTAAGGCCTTGTAAACGCTTGGTATGTAGAACTCTGGTTGAAGCACATTTGCTTCGGAAATTGACAATGTATCGGATATTCTCACCTAACTTTTTCCTCTCTCGACTGCCGTGTAAAGCGGTCTGCACCTTGCATGTATAGATTCGTAGCTACTGCTGTAAAGATCTTAGCTGAAGGTTGCCAAAACCCTAGTAAGGGCACTGTGTTGCCCCTAACAAGCATTTCCTCAAACTTTGAGGTCTCTTTTTGAGAAACATCAAAAAGCCTGAGGTCTGCCCTTACTACTTGGTGGCATATCAGACCACTTAGTTGAATTCTTCCTGGGATTGGAGGAATGCTCAGCCGGTCAGTTTGAAAAGCGCGACTGCCTTCTCCAGATATGATTTCTCTTGTTGCCTTCATCAATGTGGGCGCAAAAACTGTCACTGAGTTTAAATGTCTGATTTGCTTCTTTTGTTCCACCTAGGCACTGCTACCGCGGTGAAGGAAATGACCGGTTCGTTCCCGTCTTCCTCGCCGCCTGCCTTCTTGCCAACATGTTCGGACAACTCCTTACAATGTACAAACAAGCCGAAGAAAATGGTTGGCGTATGCCCGTACAGACCGTGAACATAGTGATCAAGGCGATGGCCGCACAAGGGTGCTCGTGTAGCGAAATCTGGGAGTTTCACAAGAGTTGGTTTGAGAAGACGGGGATGAGGCCTCAGTGGCCCACGTTGGTAACCCTTCTAACCTCTGGGGTGACGGTAGAGGAGATTCAAAGCCTACACTGTGAAGATTCACTGTTTGACGCGTATGTGCTGATCCGCGCACTTGCTGAGCTGGGCCGAGCAAACGAGGCGCAGAAAATTGTGCGGCACATCTTGGGATCGCAAGATTGCACCAGACCAATGCCCACCATCGCAGTTATCTCTCTCCTTAGGCTGTTTATACAATCTGGGTTTCAAGCGGAAGCTGAGAGGTTGGCAGATCAACAAGAGCGGCTAGGCTTGCGACTAGGAGCGGCAATGTACTTCTATTTGAAAACAGTAAAGAAGCCGGGGAAAGCGCTTGAAACATACCAAACATTGGAGGCGATTGAGGGGTCCCACCGCCAAAGCCTGGCAGTGCTAGCGGTGCTCATCAGGAGGTGCTACGAGGACCTCCACCTGACCAAGGCAATGTATCATGTAAGCTTTTCCATTTTGAGCATTATCCTGATCCCTTCTTCCTACCTCTGGTACTTTCAAGGGCTTAAGACATTCTGCTTAGTGCTTTCTCCTTCTTTCTGGGGAAGACGATCCGAGCAGTCCTCCCTGGTCTGGACGGGCCCCAGAGCGGGTCGTTTAGGCAACTTCCAGCCTTTTCATAAGAATGTAAGCATTCTTAAGTGCCTCACCCAAAGCTGACGGAATGAAATCAAGTCACGATGCGCTTCAGGTTTGGTGGTACAAAGGTGCAATGTCTCAAGGGCTTTTGAGGTTTCCTCTTGCGTTTTGTCTGGTTACATCTCTTAAGGTCCCGGTTGCAAATGTCAAGGCCATGCTTGCATACTTGTTGATTTGTCAATTCTGTCACTTGCAAGAGAGCCCGTTTTAAGCTCGCTAAGCCTTGCTTCCTGTCTCGTCTTCCATCTTCTCAGCGAACTAAAAAATGGTGCATCTTTTACAGTACTGAGCATACGCATTCACGAATCGTTTCTTTTTCTCGAACCTGGCTGGTCTCAAACCAGACGGCTCCTTTCTGTTGTCCCCTGCATCCTTGCATCCAGCTTCTTGCTATCCATGAAAGTAGTTTTTAGAAGAAGTCGGCAAGAGCATCTTCACAACTCCCTTTGAATTGCCTGCTTGAGGCCCGTATCTTGATATGCAGCTGCTTTTAGGTGGAAGCAGCAACTGTACACTGCGAATCACCGATGATGGGAATGCTCAGTTGACCTCTTCAGCGCAATTGCCGTGATCTACCTAGTCTGGACGGAAAGTGTCGCTCCAATCTAGCAAGGTATCATGAGTTTTCTAGATCAACCTTTTTTCTCACCCGTTGTCTAAACCACGCAGGCATATCTGGTCGGCAGGGGATTGGAGGGCGAATTTACCCCACCCGTCTTTGCCGACCTGGTTGAACGGTTGGCTCAAAAGGACCGGGCTGCTGAAGCCGAGGGTGTGCTGGCAGACTACTTCCAGGCGCGGCACAAGTTGCGCAGCGGCAACTACCTGGCAGAGCGGGCTTTCGAAGAGTACGATAATGCTGCCCTTCTCTTTTGAGACCTTCATTACCTGGGCTGCTGCTTTTTAATAAGGTTTCCTAGGTTAGGACGGTCAACATCTATTTAGGTAAGTACTTTTGAATGGATGATGTTTACTAAGAGCGTATCAATCTTTTTGTACCGGGGCGGATACCTTTGCGCGTGTATGCGAAACATCTAATCGACGTCCCAAGTCGAAAGTACCGGAATGGTAGCACCATTTCCAGCTACTGTTGTTAAGGGTTCCTTTTCTCGACGCTCACTTTGTGAAAGCCGGATTGTTAGCAGGGGCCTTATCCAGTCTGCTAACCGATGTTGTGAGGCGCAGAGATTGACTTCCTGCCTGTCTTGTTGCTTCGCAGATTGGCGGCTATGTATTTGAAATTCCAACAACCACAAAAACTGGTGGGACTAGTCAGGAACATGCTCACGCAAAGATACTTCGTCAGCAATACGCTCCTGATGAGCTGGGTGCGTCAGCTAAAAGCTGGCGACCACAGAGCGGAGGCAGAGGAGATGCTGGTCGCCGAAAGCGAGATGGCTCATTTACGGCGAGAGTGGACAAAGATCAATAGAAACGTAGACCGGAGGGGTGAGAAAAAAGACCAAAAGCGGGGGAGCGAAGTTGGGGTGGACATTGAGGAATCCGAGGGGACGTCCAAAGAAGAGGGACGGGGGGGAGCGGACGCACTAGTTGCAGAAAGAAGGTGAGAGATGGTGGAAGCAAGGGCGTTGTCCGGATGTACGGAAAAGACCGTCCTTTTGTTTTGAGCGTGAAATCCGTGTTTCGTGAAGGGAGCGTGAAGGAGGGGACATAGAGAACACTGAGGAGGAAACAACTGGATTCTTGAGTGCCGGGTTCTCGTCGGTTGAAAATCAAAGCACTTGGATTGAAGCGATTTTAGCGAGTCTATTTGGACGGCATTCGTGTCCTCGCTGGCATCCTTACCTGTCCAAGGAAGCTCCTGGTGAAGCCATGCTACGTCACTTCAAAGGTCGTTGCTCGAGCTTGAGACTTCTCTTTCAATAAGAGCATCCCAAATGAAAGGCCGCTTCGAAGATGGTTCACTGAACGGAATCATAAAAGAATCGTCAATTCCTTGCCAAGCTTTTTTCCTGAACAATAGGCTGACCGTCCGCATCTTCCTGTGCTTCAGGCTTCATGAGGACGGGCAGTGAGCGCTGTGGTGCCGACCAGTTCCGTTGGCCGAGCTGGCAGGTCAGCGTTTATCCCCAACCGCTTTGTCGCCTTGGAACTCTAGTAGCTAAGGAACAAGCGAGCGAGACATTGTTGGTCCCACACCGGTCAGTAGGCCGGTTGATCTCTTCGAAAATTGTCAAACCGTTGGTTCAGTTCCGCAGGTCACATGAAAAGGCACTAGCGGAACACCTTTCAAAATCAAGATCACCCACAGCAGTCTTAACTTTGTACTTTTGGAAGCAGAGCGCGTCAGACTTTTCGGTTCGGTAGTTTCTCAGGATGCATATATTCAGATCTGCATCTCAATCTGGTCAGGGTCATCCTTGAAATAGAAGGGGTAAAACACCTGCGTCATCAAAGATCGTTTGCAACACAAACTTAGCTCGCTCCTGTCATCTTCACTTAGCGACTAGCGTCTAAAGCCTCATCTCGTCGAGCGAGGTCTCGTCCCCTCAACAAGTGTCTGGTAAGCTTGCGTGGACCCGTCCAGAGATCAAGTATCAACTCACGCAGACATGTTTTGTGCAGTGCTCTATTGAGGCGGTCAAGAACGGGGCAAGCTTTCACAAGAGGGCCTGGGCGGAGTGGGGTACGTCCACCGGAGGGGTGTCGCTAGGTGAGTCGCAGCTATCAAAGGGTTCCCCTTGCACCTGATCACAACCCGTGCTTTGTGATCCGCACCAAAGAATGTTTCCAGTTGGGCTCTGGATGCGACATATGCGCTGCCAAGTCGGGCAACATGCGACTATCGACATCAGTTTTTGCGGTTACTGTCCTTCAGGTTTAACGTGAACCTTCTCCGTGAGCGGTCTCAACTCAATACCAAAGCAGAGAGTGCAGTGTACCATTAGAGGTGCTTTGGTCAGGGAGCAAAGGACGATGCACGTGATTGTATCGTTGTGTATCCTATTGTATCGTATTTGTCATTCTCTACTGTACTGTTATTGTTTGTCGATTGGCGGACCTGAGAGACTTCGCGCCTTTTCAAGTCTCCAACAACCCTTCAAAAGCAGTTTGGTAGTGTTAAGTTGATTGATTTCGTATGACCCGCCAGTACTCGTGTTTCTTCTATGCGGATGTTTTCTATCAAAGATGTCAACAAGCGAGACGTTCACACATTGTAGAATCTCTTCTCTCCAGGTATCGCTTACGAGGTCCTTCCGTTGTGCGCCGCCGTCAAAGCTTCTGGGGGGCTGCTTGACAACCGACTGGAAGTGGAGACCACGGATTCGGTCTGGTCTTGGTGCAGCGCTCTGCGAGGGAGGGGCATTCACGCCCTGCGATGCCCGTTGTTCTGGTGCGTACCAACCCCCCTTTCTTTACTTTCTTAGGTGGCTACGTCGTCCGCTTTGATTTTCCAGACCGGCAGACCACAGTTGGTGCACGCGAGTATTTGTTGGACCTGTCGTACTTTCTTCAATCTCTTTCTCAGTCCTGTTACGATCACCGAACTTGCAAAGGTTGAGATTTGGCGGGTCCCGGGCTACTTTTTTGTTCGGGACGCTTTGACACAGCGTCGCTTGCATCCGGTACTTTTCGTTTCGGCGACGGCAGTCGCATGATCGATCGATTCCATCATAAACGCATCCCCGGCATTGCGAGGCTCAGACTGTACCGCTTTTAGAAGAGTCTTCTTCTACAACAACCGGCTGTAGTCACTTGGCACCGCAGAGAGAGACGACTCAGGAGATTAGACGAACTCAGAATCGCAAACGTGAAAGATTTGACTGCGAAGTGTCGGTTCAGGTTGAACGGGATGATCACGATATTCTTTGCCGCAGCTCTCATCGGCTATGCTGCGATCGCGTTCTTTGCAAGCTACGAAGGAAAAGGAAAGCTGGAAAAGAGGATTACACGCTCCCTCTGATCTGCAACAGTTCTCAGCTTCCTGTTTCCGTCGCCTGCCGACTGCGCTCACGCCCCTCTTGTCCCTCCACAGTCCCAGTTGGCGCCTCCTGGGCAACGCGACCGAGGAGCTGGCCCACCCCAGATCGCCGTGGGAGGCGTCTTTGGCGGGGTGGTGCAGGCGGCGCGCAACGGGATGCAGGCCGAGGTGCATCAGTCATGCAGACTGCGCGAGCTCAACCAGGCGCGCGAGGTGGAGAAGCTGAGGTCCTGGAGGAGCAAATCTAAGGTGAGCCTGC